CCTCAGCTAGAATCAAATAGGAGTAGCCACTACAGTTAGTAGTTGGAACCATCGGAAACGACTAAAAATATTTGTTAATGAATAAGAAAAAAATGTTAAGCCCCCCCACAGATGAAACTAAATATCCGCCAATACATACACTCTTAAAAACTATAAACAAAATGGTAAAAGCGGTGGCAATTAGCGTTCATGACTTTGGCATGAAATAATATTGTTCGTGACGATTTGCGTACACGATTTTACAATAACCAAAAATAATAATGTTCACGGCGATTGGCGCACGCGATTTTATAGTAAAATAAAATAAAATAATGTTCACGACGATTCGCGCACGCCAAGTTGTATAAACCCTTTTTTTTCTATTCTATTTCGCTATTCGAGCTCATACTATCAGAAAAAAAAAAAAAAAACGCTATCGAGCACACGATTTTCATAGATACCGTAATTCGTACGGCAGGCGACAACAAACGACTTGACTGAATTTGCGGCGATCGTGAAAAAATATTTGTGCAGTCGATATAATATGTAATCTACATATTATATAACTCGCAACTCACAAGACACATTTAACAATAATTATAACGAAAATAAAACAATAAGTGATTACAGTGTGAGGCCATCACGGCTATCTCTTTTATTTAATATTTTCCTTTTATTTTGATTATACGTTTGCTTATGCGCTGTCCCCAATGCTGGTGCCGTTACTTTATGCTTATCCGCGCTCTTGGTACATAAAACGTGCAATTGTATTTTATAGAAATCTTAGCTCCCGGTTTTGGTTGTAGTCCCCTTTTAGAGTAATAATTACTACGGATTCGCGCGCGTAAACTTATAGTGGCGTGTGGGCACGTAACAATAGGTATTACCGAAACTAGATAAATTAATTTTAAACCATATATAAATTTTACAGAAAACAAATATAATAAATAAAACTTAGAAAACACAGTTCTCACAGTAGGGGTTACAATTCCATTTGAACTATTATATCTAGTAGCATAAGAGTGCGAAGATTAATTAATTAATTCCTTATAATTAAACATAAATATACATAATTTTTTATAATATACATTATTCAAATTAGATAGACAATATTCATTAAAAATATAATTACTTGGGTATCGACTTGGTTAATGGTTTGAAAAATATAAAATTTATAAGAGAATTCATAGTCACCTTATAATTCTTCAAAAGGGTACCTTATGACAGATGGAACCAGACTTTTAAAAGTTATAGTTCTTAATTTAGTAATATATAAAATAATAAAATATTTCTTAGAATGCTGAATAAGTAAAAAATATTTTTTTACAGTATTGTTGATATAATTAATGTGAATATTCTATTAAATTTGATTATTAATTGCTTTTTCATGGTAACATTGTACAACCTGTTTTAATGGTTTATCTTATTTTCTTACATTACCTATATTTTAAATATTTCATAAATTTTTCGAAAGGAAAACAACTTATATTATCTAGATGGCCAAAGTGTTAATAATAATCTAACAATCTACACATTAATGCAAAAACCCATGTACATTGTAGGATATTAAGTATGATTCATACATTGTTCCAAGGTATTAAACAAAGTGATTTAAAAGTTGTTCTGTTGTTCAGCATAATCAATAAAATCTCCTTTGTTTGAAGAAGCATTTGTATCACAATGTAAAAGATATAAAATGCTTATAGCAATCTTTGTTGAAAATATGTTGTGGAACTATTGACTCTGTATACAATAAAAACCAATATGGAAAAGAACTGAATCCGCCAGAGTGTGGACGTGTTTACGAATATAACATACAGCATATACAATATACAAATTTGATGTTTGCGGTTAGAGCGCTGAGCGGTACATCAAAAGAATAATTATCTAGTATTGGATGGGGTTCAACATTCATGAATATCAAATAAAACCGGCCCAACCGTCTCGCCGCTAGCCACCGTACTGTCTCGCCACAACCTACTCACCGCTGCATAGACTAGAGATTTTTGAATGAAGTATACTTCGGAGGTTTTTGGTGATGGGAGAATATTTTTAACGCTAAACAATTTGGCACCCCACACAAATCCCCTCCATAGTTTGACACCCTAAAATTCCTTCCAAAGAAACTAGCCCGGAATTTATCCGATTAAATCCCCATTATAGTGAAGATCTCACTCGTGTGCCTTGAAAAGCAATTGAGTTATGGTATTAAGTTTTAAACCGAAAAAAATTGTTCGCGGTGAAAATGATTATAACGGTGAGTTGGTAATTCGGATAGGTCGTTGGTAATTGTGGTATATAGTAGTCGCGGCGAGTCAGCCGGCGGCGTGATGGTGCGGGGAAGTCACCCGGCGACGAGTCGGTAGCAGTGATGTGTTCTAGACCTAAATACCTACTACGCGGTGAACGTATGCAGTGGCTCACACAGAGGGGGGAGGGGTGTCAAAATCCCCTCGGAAATATCTTCCTTCACTACGTCTTTTTAAATCAAGTCTTACATTCAACAATATAATATCTTATGCCACAAAATAAAATACAATTTAATTTCATCAAAAATCATTAATTCAGTAATAATAGTGACAATACTGCACTTATTATAAATGCTGTCTTCTTATACACTAGATACACTAGTAGAATACACTAGATTGTAGTAAAATCACTACTGACGATCGGTTTGTTATCGATCTAATACCTACAAAAATCGGTTTACGTTCGAAGAAAGAATTTGTGCATGATCTAACAGGAAAAACCGAGAACAATAAATTTTCTCATACAGGTCATTACATGCAAAAAACACACTGTGTGTACGCTGTTGACTATATATATATATACATTTTTTCGTAATAGATTCTAGGAACGATACGCATAATGTGGAGGGTCGAAAGGTCCGTTGTCGCCAACGATTATATTTCGTATTATGCTGGAAGGAGGAGACGGGAGTTGTGACGACTATTATATTCCGTATAGGTAACAAATCGCGTACGAGTAATATTGTTTTGTTAAATTATAATAATAGATGGTGTAACACACACAGACGGGGAAGATATATTTCGTATACGAAATACTTGCTATGTATTGAAACATCATCTTGTGATAACAGTAGGTATACCGATATATGTATTAGGTATAATTGTGATTAGATAAAATATCGTATAACTTGTGATAACAGTGTGGCAATAATGTCGGTGATAACAGTGTGGTAATAATGTCGAAAGTGGGCGTGACCTAAATGGTCTAAGAAATGGTGAGCAATTCGGGGGGCAATGTATTAGGTATAGCACTTCGTTCTTGCTCCTGCTCCTGATTTAGAACCGGCTATTTTATACTACTGAGGACTAGTTTTATTACTAATGTGATCAAGTTCATCGAAGACATCCTGTAAGGCTAGTGGTACAGAATCGAAATCCAATAAAGATATATTTTTTGTATGAAATGAATATAGAAGAATAACTGAGAGATTTCATACACTGAAAAAGTATTCAGAAAAACCGTTTGAAATTTCGTTATCACCCGAATACTTATAATATTGTGGAACATAACCAAAAGAAAGGATGATTTACATTATTTATTGTTAATAAACTTTCAAAAATATTTTGGATTACTAAATATAGTTTTGAATTTTATTTAGAAAATAAGCATAGTCACTTTTGTTTAAAGCCTAACACCGAGCTCGAAAATTAGAAAAAGTATTATAATTAGGTGGGCTAGGAAACTGTTTATATATTTTATGAGCTATTTTTTTCGAATAAATTAGTTTTTTAAATTATTACTAAATCATAAAGAATAAGTAGATGACGACAGACATAAAATATTTAAATTTAAATAAAAAAATGACCACAGCATAATTTATACCTGAGTTATTAAATGTGTCATTCCAATCGATAGAAATAATAAGTGATCTAATAAAATCATAATCACCGTGATTAAAATCATAAACATAAATCCTTATAATCTAAATATTCTATAGACGAAATAGGCAAATGTATATTAAATGTAAGGCTATATGGTAATTATAGTCTAGAGGGACAAGTGAATGAGCAGCAGGAGACATAATGACATTTATATACATTAGAAAAAACGAGATTTGCTTATCAAAATAATTTCAAGTAATTGAATACAATGTTGATTCTAATTAGTATTCTGTATATCAAAACAATTTTAAATAGGTTTTTAAATAAAATTTGATTTTATTAATACCGTTTTTTTCACGAACTTAGAAAGATTAAAGGTGATATAAAGAAAAACCGCACCAGGACTAAATTAACGAAACTTATCCATTTCACACATGAATAAACTGTGGTGAATCTAGGGAAGGAAAGACACACGTGCTCCTCTCCCTTGTTAATAGATTATAGTTTGTATTTATATATTTTGTATTAATTTAATTTTAATATATAATTTAGTTAATTAATTGAAAATATAAATGTGTTCCCCCTTTAAAAAATGTCTAGATCCACTGCCGTGAATAAATTCAATATCAAATTTATATATATATATTTTTGTTTTTCTAATAGCATATTATGTAAGTATATCTATAATTATTAACTATAATGTAATTTGAATGTTTTTGTTAAAATATAAATACATAATAAATAATGATTGTATATGATTATAAAGCAATATTAAGTTTAATTAACAAGCCTGCTTAATTCATACTAAATAGAAGTAAAAATGTTACAAACTATGACATTCCATACCTGTCTATTAGTCATCATTTATTATGGTCCCGTAAATATCCATTATATACAGGTTTCAAAGTATTAATTCATTTGTGCTTCAATATTTTAATATTTATTTGTTGTCCGATGATAGGTTATTCTTATTATATAGTGGTAACTACTAACTTTTATAAATAATAATATTGTTATTTTATTTAAATAATCACTTGTGGCTTTTGATTTGAACTCTATAAAGTCTATATTATTTATTGATTTTCTTTTGTTAAAACATTGATGTTATTTATACATCTAACATCTGTAGTTATTATACTTGAACAATTTGTTTTTATTGTTCTTTCTATTCGCATTGAAAACTTTGGATCTTTAGCCGCTAAATGTCTCAATCGGACTTGGCCGCAAATTTGGAGAGCACTGGTTTATGAGTTAAGACTTAATTTATAAGATACATCACTAAATAACTAAGTTGGTTTGATTAGATCTAAATTGGTAAGAAACACATTGGCATTCACTTAATAACAGTTATTACCAATGTTATTACAGTTACTGTGCATATATATTTACACCATTGGGCATTGATCATTTAAAATATTGACATCTTATGAAAAAAAAATTACAGCTGGTGGTGATTTTTATCACTTCCTTACAGAAATTGATAAAATCACTGCCAAAGTATCACAAAGTCGCAAACATACTTATTATCAGGCCTCTAGCAGTTCTACCATTGTGATAATAGAAAAGCATTATTATAATTTATTAATTTTTAATTGATATTTTTTTATGCTACTATGTACTTAGTGTCATACAAAATAAAAATATATTATTACAACATTTTACATTTATAGTTATTTATAATTTATTTTAAACATAATATCTGAGATCATACAAATAAGATTAAACAATAGTTAAATGTTAGTAAAATGTTTAGCAACCTCTACTGGCAATGGAACTATCCAATAATCCGGTAAACTATTATTGTGGTTCCTTAGGTATTCATTTATGAGCTCATGGGATACAGGATGTAATTCACCATTGGGTAGTTTAACATAAAACATAACTTCACCATTCAAATTGGGCTTTGAAATAACTCTGCATTCTACGTTAACAACTGATGGATTATTTTTTGTAAAACCATTAGATCTGATTGTTGCAGGTCTCTTAGTAGTATTGAAATGAGAATTTATTTTAGGTTGAGGTCCTTTTACTATAGACACTTCAATACCTTTTGGTAAATGTACATTTGCTGGCATAATAGATATGTTTGGAGAAAAACTTGGAATGGTAGTAGATGATATTCGACGTGGCGCTGCTCGGTGTATACGAGAGGTTGCTCGGTGCATACGAGAGGTTGCTTGACGCATAGGGGTGGCAGCTTGACGCATAGGAGACACTGCTTGACACATAGGAGACACTGCTTGGCGCATAGGCAAAGCTGTTTGATCTATAGGATAGGCTGCATAACGTATAGGAGACACTGCTTCTTGGCGTATAGGAAAATTTGTTTGACGTATAGAAGAGGCTCTTTGGCGCATAGAAGAATCTACAATTGTTTGCTGATTAAAATTATTGTTTAAACTATAATATCCACTAATTTGTACACTTGGCTTTTGAACCTGGGCAGCACCTGGAGTGATTGAAATCGATTCAATAACAACATCATCATCACTAATAACTATGTGTTCATCATTAATATTATCATCATCATCATCATCTTCAATTGAAATAATCTCATCATTATCTTTAATTGAAATAATCTCATCATTGTTTTCCATAATACATTCAACAACTTGACTTTTTTCACTTTTATCATCACTTATTTCTGAGATCTCACTTCTTAGATCTTGTTTTTTTCCATCCAATTTATTATTATCTAATGGTAATTCACTTTTATTTTTCATTTGCTTTCCTAAATCATCCAGTTTTTGTTTAGAAGATAAAACTGGTAGTTTCGTTTTTGATTTAGGTCGATTCATAGCTTCCCAATCATCTTCAGAATCTAAAAAATCAGTCACGGATGATTCATTATTATTTTCACTTCTATATCCATCAGAATAACATGTATCAAAAACCAATTTTTCTTTAATGACTGATTTTCTTTGACGTTTCTCACAAATTATTGCTTCATTGACAGCTAGAACTAAAATAAAGAAAATGTCAATTTTATCTTGCATATATATAGTGTCCTACTGAATTTAACTGTTTTTTTTTTTTAAATAGTTGTAAATATTTAATTTTCAATAACCATTTTGTAATAATATATTATTCTAAACATTTTTGTGTACCATACGTGTATATACAAATTATATTTTTATAGTTACAGATATTTTTATTTTTAATATTTTCAACTTAATGCAATAAATAAATACATTCCTTATTGCATTACTCAATAGTCTTATTTTTTACAAATTTTCTCTAGAAATTAATACGGCCATTAGTAAGAAATTATTAATCAGATATGAATGTGACATTAATATTTTTAGAATAATATACTTTAAAAATTATAAAAAGTGAGCTGATATGTGACTGTTCATGTTACAACAAAGAACACGACTGTTGACAGGTTAATAATATTATTACTTGAATGCTTTTAAATTTTTTTAACGTTTGACATTAGTAATTAAAATTTATATTGATAAATATATTACCATCAGAAGTTGTTTTTACTTCTTTCTCTTCCCAAAAAATTATTTCATCTTTTTCTTTAAGAAATCTCTCCGGATACGATTTCCAATCATTAAATAATTTTATTTTGGAATTATTGTTAGTCATAATCAGATGATATTCTTGTGGTTCCATTTTAAAAATTAACTTTTCTAAAGCATTAATTAAGGTTTCAGGAATAGATGAATCTTCTATGTCAAGTTCATCTAAAAATGAACGAAGACCTTGAACAGAATCAGCTATCAACTTAAAATGGCTTGTGTCATGTGATTTTGTACAACCAAAGGTATTACCTTTATAAAAATAAATTATCTAATATAAGATATAATCATAAAGTACAATTTTTTTAAAATAAATTAATATACTTACTAGATAAATACACATTATCACCATCAGTCTCTGTTTTCTCTTTAATTTTTTCTGATTCAAGAAATTTGAGATTTGGCTTAAAATTAATAAAATTAATTTAAAATAAAAATGAATAATGATAATAATAATAAGAAAAAAACAAAATTACTTCATCAGTTGGAATATTATAATAATATATCCTCAAGTCTGGCATTGAACTAAAATAGAAATATTCCTCAGTTTCCATATCGTTCTTCCAGATTGTGCATTGTCTTTCATTACAATTTATTATAATATTGTTAATGGTTTTATATTTATTCTAAAATAATAATAATAATAATAATATATGTCACACAATATTTGAATAATTTGATAAAAGTAGTATTTACTCATAAATAAACTTACAATAACATAATCACAAAGTCCTTTAATAACCCAAACTTTTATAAAATATTTGAGCTCACTGTAATCAAATTTTACTAAAGGATTTTCATCACCCAAAATGCTCCAAAAATCTGGATGTATGCCAAGGGAGTTCAATACCTGAAAATTATATTGTATTTTCATTATAGAATATAATATACATAATACATTCTATAACTGAAAAATCTGTGGAGAAAAAATGATCATCAAAATGAAGATCATGGACCATATTACAGTAGTTTTAAAAATATCTATGAAAGAAAATTGATCAGCATACAATTTTTAGGACCATGATCGTTTTTCTCAACAGTTCTTCAATTTATTCGATACAATACTACTAAAATCTGTCCAGATATTTTACCAAAAATATTATATTAAGAAATGCCAAAAATAAAAATATAATATATACTTACATAGACTTTATTTCTTTTATGTATGTGGTAAACTTTATACCACTCTGATACTTTTTTGCAAAGTTTTTCAGACCAAACTTTATAAGGCATTTCTCGACCAATATACTTTGGCTTTTTAATTGGCATCAAAAGTGTAGTCATAATTTTACTCATAGTTGTTGATTCTTTAGGCATTAAAAACATTCTTTCAATTTCACCTTGGTTAACAATTTCATAGTCAAGTTCTTTAAATATAATTGCCACAAAATTGCCTATTTCTGGTAACTAAAACAAATAGAAATTTACCACATAATAAGTATAGAATTTATATTCGTAAAAAATAAAAAATGTATACTTACCTCCCACATTGAACTTATAAATTTATAATTATCATTAAAATAAATTTCATTTTCCCAATGCTGTAGCCCTTCTAATATGTGGGCATTATCTGCATTGGTGGTAAGTTTAGATGATAATATATTATGATATTCTTTCAAACGTTCTGGGCGACAATGTGCAACAGATCTTAATAATATTGAATCATAACAATCTAAAATAAACAATATTACATAAATTATAATTATTAACAATAATCAGTTCATAAAGTATGAAACTAATATTACAATTTATTAAACATTATACCTTTTGGATATCTAAAGTAAAAATTTTGTTTTCTATCCAGGTATGGTTCAAGTAATTTTAAAGTAAGTTGAATGTTAGCAAACAATTTTAAATCTCTGAAAACAAAATAATATAATAGATTCTTTTCATACATTAGTATTAGTTATACAAAATATTACTCATCAAGGAGGCCAATTTGGTGTTCTAATTCTTCCTCTATTTCAAGTAATTTTATAGTATGATCACTTTTAGCACCATAAAATTTATAACAGTTCAAGAACACAAGTCTTATATCTTTAATTGCGTCAGTAATTGAACTGTACTTTTGATCTTTAAAATTATTGCAGACTAAAAAAAAAAAATATAATAAAAAAATAATCACATAAATAATTATAAAAAAATTCAGAAAAATATGTTTTACTTTTCTTAAAGTCAATATAATTATCTACTAGTGATTCTTTGTAGTCAATATCTACTGACTCATCAGTAAGATCTTTTAAAATTGGTGGAGATGTCAAATATATTTTCTTGAAAATCCTACAAAATAATAATAAATACAATAATTATTGTAAGTTTTACTTTAAATCTTTTTTTTTCTATTAGAATATTTTATAAAACAAAAACCTAAATTTATTAAATATTTAAGAAATTCAATTTTTAATTTGTACACAACAAATACTGCAAATTTGATGATGCCAATTTTAAACAATAACTTAAAAGTACAGTAAACTCTAGGAGGTCCCTAGTAAATGTGTAATTCATGTATTTAACATAAATATGTGTAAAAACACATACAATCAGACAATGATTAGACAATTAATCAGTCTGACAACTCATATGCCCCTCTTTACAATATTTTCCTCATTTAGTTTTCAATCTGATGGAACATGGGTTCGATATTGATAGTAAATATTAATAATTCCGTAGATTCAATTATAATTGTTAAGTTATTCATCAGATGCATTAAGAAAGAATTAGATGTACATTATTACATAGGATTTCTATTGAGATTTTATTTTATTTACTCGCATTTCTGGTACGTTCATTGAACTCTATATGATAAAGTTAACCTAACTTAATATATATATACATGGGTTTTTTTAGATTCTGAGTGGAGTGAAGAAGCTTAAGGTTTACAATGATGTTTTGTTTATTTAATTTTTTTTATCTGTAAAATAAATAAAAATTGACTTCCTTAATATATAAACCTCAAAATTTGATTTCATAAGATTCTACACTTTAAGATCGGAGCAAGATTTCTGTTAGAAAAATTCTGAATAGACAAAGACAACGAAAATGTCATTATAGTTAAATTGAAATATAAAAGCACACATCACAGTGAAATCATGTTCAGGATTTAAAATAGTTTAGAAACAATTTATTTTAAAACCTTCACTTAGACTAAATACTAATGTTTTTTTTCCCCATAGGTATATTTATAGATGCCATTCAACAAATCTGAAATGTTTAAACTTTTTTTTATAAAGCTAATTAATCAATCATAAGAAAAGTTGTAAACAATCTTAAAAATTAAAAAATATTAATTAATTTAAAAGAATTAATTTTTATGTTGATTTGTATATTTTTTAACATTTACTTTTAACACTTACTTATAAATTTGACTAATGTAATCAGTATTGTCTTCACATCTCTGTTCTGTTATTTCTTTACTCATTTTTTTACCTATATCTTTACTTATTTTGTGATCATTGGAAGTGTCCATATTTGTCTGGAAAAAATAATTAAGACATTAAAAATAATTTATGTACATTAATTGCTTTAGCAGACTTAGTAGGAATATGGTGTACGATTTTTAACTTAAGTTACAGCAGAGGATAACTTGGGAAAGTAATGAACAAAGAAGGGAGGGAAGGTGAAAACACCTCTTCAAAATATAAATTAGCATCTAATTTGAATTTAAATTTGAAGTAGAGGATATATTTATTAACAAAAATGCTAAGGTCAAATATAATAAATATTTTTCATTATAAAAACTGTTCAACCCTATTCCCCTGGCACTAGTTTAGAAGAAAAGTTTTATCATTTAAGATAAAAAATAGTTTTCAAATTAAAAAAAAATTAGAGACAATTTGTAAAACCAAGAGCTACCTACTTAATTATAATATTAATTATTTGTATTTTACATGTTTTAGTTACATATATATTTATATTTTAAATTTTAAAAATGTTTAATGTAATAATGTACATTTGTTACACACCAGTCCCTTCCATAGGCATAGGCTTAACATAGAGTTTGCTCCTTACACCTTGACAAAAAAACAAGGTAGCTTGTTTACAAGGTACAAAAGGTACATGGTACACAGTAAACAAGCTACCATGTTTTTGAATATATTAATTGCATGTATATTAATAAACTATGATCGAAAATAAAACATAACTAAATCAACTTGTATTAAAATATCCATTAAATTAAACACCCATAATTTAAAAAAAAAAAGTTACAAAAATAAAGTGCTTGACATTTAAAAATAATAAGAAAATCCATTTACAAAATTAAACTAAACAATACAACTATCATATTTATAAGTAAAAGTTATTAGTCATATTTAAAAGTAGTAACTCTTAATATATATATTGTTAATGTTGCAGATTTGTATTAAAAGAATCACATTGATATTCTAAACAAAATATTTCATAAAAAAAAAATGCACACAAGAGATTTTGAATCTTATAAGTATCCATTAAATAGACATAACCGTTCTAATTTTAATATTAAGTATAAATCAAAGTGGGTTACAAATAATGATTCTGACACTCGAATAAAACCTAAGATTAATAAAAAAAAAATTGGAACTAAATGGAGAAGATTGTTAAATGATTATTCACAAAATACTACTTTACACGGACTTAGATATGCTGGAAATAATGAACTAAGTGTCAGCGAAAGGTAAAATTTAAATAAAAATAAATTTATCTATAGACTTTTAAAAAAATGATTCCCAATAATTTACAAGTAATTTTAGTTAAATTATAATTTTATGTTAAAATATTGTTGTTAGGTGTTTTTGGATAATTTCTTTTGGTTTAGCTGTTATCACAGCAATTTACTTTATTGTCAACTTAGTTCATAAATGGCAAGATATGCCTGTAATTATTAGTTTATCACCAAAAGCAACTCAACTTACTAGTATACCATTTCCTGCAATTACAATATGCAATATGAATAATGCAAGAAAATCTGTAGCCAAAAATATTTTTGAGACGTAATTATTCTTATTATAGGTAAATTATTATTCAAATTCGTAAAATACAACTAACATTATATTTGTGCATAGATCGTCTACCCTTGATAGCAAAATTGATCTTCGGCTATTGAGTGATTTTTGTGATGAAGATCCAATTCAAAAAGATTCATCAATGGACAATTACACAGGTGATTGGGATTCATTAAAAAAATTTATGATTAGGGTTTCTCAACCTTGCCATGAAATGATTATATCGTGTTTATGGGCAAACAATCCAAGAATTTGTTCGGAATTATTCAATCCTTCATTAACAGACGAAGGAATATGTTGTTCTTTTAACAAAGTGAAATCAGATTATATATTTTGGAACTCCAAAGATTTATCGGACTTAAATGTTACATTTCCAAATCCATCTGCAAACTGGACTCCTGAAAATGGATACCCACCAAACACGCCAGCTGAATATACACCATGGAGACCCTGGGGAGCTGGTAGTCATTTGGGATTAACTGTTGTATTGGATGCTGAAATTGAGGAATATTATTGTTCATCAGAAGTCAGCTATGGATTTAAAGTAATATAAATGATATCTATACACATAGCAATTATAAAATGTTGAGGTGAACTATTCTAGGTGATGTTACACAGCCCAGTAGAAACTCCAAAAATATCATCATTTGGTAGTTTTGTATCACCAGGTAGGGAAACATCAATAGAAATTCACCCTACAGTAGGTATGGCTACACCAGCATTGGTAAATATAAAAAAAGAAGAACGACAATGTGTTTATTCAGCAGAAAAACAATTGAGGTTTTATAGAACATACACTCAACGGAACTGTATAATGGAATGTGAAGCTAATTTCACTCTTATGTTTTGTCAATGTGCCATGTATTATATGCCAAGTAAAATACAATTTTAAACAAACTTTCAATTTCAATTCTACATAGAATAAAACAATGTATTAGTTGCATAATGACAGTTATATATATATATATATATATATATCTTTGTATAGTAAAGATAGGCTCAAAAAAGAATAAATTAAATTATAAATGAAAATTCATTAACAGAAATGGGACATTTAAAGAAAAAAAAACAAACATATTTTGCACGATGGGTGGGCCACTATTGTAGATGATAAGTTAGAAAGGTAGGATGGGGAGAAATTAATTTATACTTTCATACACAAATAAACCGTTACTAAAGAATAATGATTACGAGTGAAGTTCATTTATACATGTTTTGAAAGACCGGATAAATAATCTGTTCAATTACTTTGAAAACCAATTAGATAATTAAAAAATGACTTCTTCAATACACTAACTAAAATTACTTTTCAGAAAAGGTGCTACACCTTCAAATTAAGTTCTTTGGTAGAAATGTTGCTCACATAAAAAAAAAATCACATTATAGTAAAACAATAATGACATAATTTTTCAAATATAAAGAAATTGCTTATCATTTTAATAATAGAAAATCACAACAATATAATTGTTTCAGAAATGTTAATTTTTTTATAATCAGAAGTTTTACTGTAATATTAGTATACAAAATATAAACCAACAATGTAAATACGAAAAATGGAAGTAACACATTTTATATGTAATATGTTATTTTGTTGTTATTCGGAAAATAATAATACTAGAATTATTCCATTTAAGGATGTTTTTAAGCCAGGATCTCATGGAGCAGTGAGATAAACGGACATATATTCTGCTACATCCCACAATCCAACATGTATCAATGCTATTTTACAGACAGTGTTCCTAGACGTGCTACACGCTTGGCTTAATTCATCCCTTTCTAGAGTGTTATAAGGCATGTATTCAAGCTATGCCAATTTTTCTTTGTCTAAGACTGTAGGAAATGAAATTTTCTCTTTTCTTTAGTGGGCCTACCATTCCCTATACTACTCCAAGCGCCGTGTGATTCGAACTTTATCAATTCCATCATCATCTAGCGAACTGCTAATGTTTTTTGGTTGCCCATTAGATGCATTGGGAGATGATTGGATTTAATATACAATTTTCGAAGGAATATCGAAACAAATACAATTTCTAACTTAATTGTTCATCGTATTTCCTGGCAAAAAATACCGGTCTACTAATAAATACTTAATTGGATATTGCAATTCCCATAATCTCATATTTGATATAATATATATTATACATAAACTTGATATTTTTATCTATTTTAATTTTTTTTTATTTCAACAGTATGCTATATAATAAAAACTAATTATATTTCTAAAATAATTAATTGAATAAATACTAGCCTATTACAGAGATATCTCACTAATTTATAGTATCCAGCTCTGATTTTAATTATACAAACTGAATGATTATTTTACCATGAATCAGCAACTATCTACAGTAATTTTGAGTAAACTTTATGTTTTTGACATTATGGAAGCATTTAATTATTTTATTTACTATATTTTCAAAATTGTAAAGGTATTAGGATAACATGAAACATAAGTATCAACATTTGATTTTAAAATAAATAACAATTCATGCATTTAAACTTGGATTTGTAATAAGAATGTTTTATAAAATATTGATTGCTATGTACAACATTAATGTAGGAAGTACTGTTTATGAGTTATACACTTTACAACTTTTAAATTTAGATCAGAGAAATAATGAACTGGGAAGAATAATAATATTGATATCTATACTTAGATAACCATTTCTCCTCCATCTTAAAATTTTAAAATGGTTATTTTGCATAAATATGGTAAATAATGGTATATATCTAATGTTAGATAGGTCATGCAGATAAACATTAACAGTAATATATTATACCTAGTATATATTCAGCATTATATCACGTGTATATAGCTATTTTAGAATCAATAGTTGGTAATAAAATATAATCTTTATAGTTTATAGTGTATGGAATAAGGGTACGATTTTAAAAATATTGGAAATAATATTAAGCAAACAATTTAAATAAAAAATATTTAAAATAAAAAAATGATGGTGAATATATGTGAATAAAATATCTAAGTACAGGCTTGATTAAATATCATATTATTGTAAAATTGTCCATGAAATACAACTTTCAAAACATGATAAATGTAAAATCATTTTGAAATCAATATATTCAAAAAATTTACATTACTTTTGTGAGTGAAATGACGAAACTACTTTGATTTTCAAATACATAAATGTATTTTATACTATACTATACTTTAAATTATAACACTGAAAAACCAAAATTTAATTTATTCAACATTTTTGTAGATATAATCATGATAAAATAATAACCCTATATTTTTGATAAGATTTTTAATATAAATTATGTATGACTTTTAGAAGACAGTTTCTCTAGAATTTGTGGCAAAAAAGATGAAGATTGTTCAAACAAAGCTAAATGTAATTTATAAACAATTTTTATTATATCATGGTTTTCATGTAGATTTTTAGTTGTTACCTTCGTCTTACACAATAAAAATATGTTTTATTAGATCCGGACTTATAATCAAAATTGCTTAAAATTAACAAACATATACACATATTTAAATTAAAAAAATATATTATAATTAAAATAATTAATACATTTGAAATAATATTTTAATACCTAGTAAATTAATAATATTAAGATACAATAAATTATTACTAACAAAAAATATAATACAAATTAGAGCTCAGTTAATTGATTGCTCGCAATAACTATTAAAATCACTTTTTTCGATTAACCGAGAGAATCCAGAATTAGTTAGAATCAATTCGAAAAGATTTCTTGTGAAAACCTATATGGAAATCAAATTTAAAAATATGTCTGTGGTATAATCAGTTTTATGTTCACATTATACTCCCTATATTTTGTCAAAAATATATACAATTTTGGCTTTTTTTCGGACTTTTCTCAAATTAAAAAAAATATTTGTAAGTTCAAAAAGAACCTTATAAATACATCAATAAAATTAAAATGCTACCAGGATCAAATTTAATACATTTTAATGAAAAATAATAGTTTTTTTAAATGATTACACCATAGTAAGTGTTTTATAAATTTGTATACAATAAACATCAACATTATTGTTACATTATAATTATATTAGGTTATATTATAATTCCCACGATAATAAATAATTAATTAAGATAACAAATTTGTAATACACGGAAAAAAAGGTAAAATAGTTATTATAAGTCTACATGTGCAACCTTAATGTTATAAATATGGAGCGGATTTAAATGCTCTAAAAAACAAGAAAAATGCCTTAAAAAAATACCCAAAATATTATTTTAAATATTGAAATAAGATTAAAACATAGAATATATATTTTAAAAAAACATAAATATGATTTTTTTTCTTTTAAGAGGAAATCAAAATAAATTTTATCAAATTAACTGGCAACACTATGAACAATGTAAAAATTAGAAAAAAATTTCTTAAAAACCTAAAAATGCACTTAAAATGTCAAAAAATTTTCTAAAAATAAAAAAGTTCTAAAAGTGCAAAAGATGCAAAATAAAAATTTCATTTTTGAATTCTTTGATACATGAAGTAAATTTCATGCTTGGAAAACATTGTTCTAAGGAATTTAGAAATAAATGCAATTTGCATTGAAATTTGCTCTCTAGTTCTAACACGTACATATAATAATATGTGTTTAATATCCCAATTTACTGATAAATACTTAACTAAAGAAATGACTTATTTATTATTCAGTGGTAATGGAACTTATATATAGTTCAGCCATAACGAACATGAGCCAATTATTGAATGGCACCAATTTACCAAATTGCACTTGCTTACCAGGATGCCATTGGATTGGATACAATAAAGTGCATTCATCATCTCCATTGGCCAACAGTTATAAAATTAAACAAACATTTTTAGTTGGAAGAAATTCTACCTACTTCAAGTGAGTTTTTTGTTTGTAAATATTGTTTGAACTTATTTAAAATAAATTAGTACAATTATTGATTTTAGAATATTCTAAAATCAATGATATTAACAATCTATTGTACATCCTGTATTCTCACAATTACTACTGAAGGTGACAAATTTTTCACTTGTTTTTAAATTTCAATTGTACTTTAAAAACATTTAAACAAGCTCACATTTTTAATAGGAATCAAATAGTTATGCCAAATCAACAGTTAAAACAATAAAAAAGTTGTATTTGATAGTTGTAATGCAACTCTGGAATGTTGATTCTAAAATAATTTACATAAAATTATGCTCTTTAAAATTGTAAAAAATAATATCAAATCTTTATAACAAAATAGTATTATACATACACTACTTGAACAATAATTTGTAGAAATAAAATAAATGATTTTTGACTAAACTTATATTTAGATTACAAAAATATCCATGTTACACAGCAGAAATATCATAAGTTTCATTGAAATGTATCAAATAAATTTAGGTAAAACATCATTCTTACATATAATAAAGTAAAAATTATGCCGATATCATTAAAAGTATGTAATATTAAAAAAAGGTAGTAAAAATTAAAAATATTAATGTACAAGTAAAATTTTATTTAATTTTAATTCCTATACCATTTTCTCTCAAAAAATAAAACAACAGCTAATAATATTTTTATATTGCATTCTTAATAATTAATATATTTTAATATCTATATACTGTAAGAAATTTCATTAGAATGTAATAATCACCATAATGTATGGTAAATAGAACAAACAGGAAATCAAAAACACAATTTAACTTGTGGAATGCTTAAACCTTTATTCAATATATATATATATATATATATGGGTAGAGATAGGGTTGGTTGTTGAACTCTCCCTCAAACCCATAACTAAAACCCAGTTCTAGTAATATAAAAATATTAATCATTTTAAATTTATTAGCAAAATCAAAATTCAAAAAATTCAAAATGTAACTGCTGAATATATATTATAATTGATCTAATAATACAGTTACCTAACAGATTTTGAATTTGTATTTGTGAATTATACAAAACATTTTGCTTTAAAATAATGCATCACACATTCTTAATAGTAGATGTAAAATGTATCTTCCAAAAGACTTAAATATAAAAACTGGTTAAATGAGGGTGGGGGGCTAAGCCCCTCCTAAAAAATAATTTAATTATAGAATTATTTATGTTCAGCATAACTGTTAATCTCTTTTTATTTAATCTAATTACCTACTTGAAATTAATTATTAAACAAATTTAAGAGCCCTTTCAAGAAAATCAAAAACTATTTAACTTCAAAAACTACTTACAATTTATAGTTACAAAATAAATATTGACAAATAACTTACAAAACATTCGCAAAATTTTGATCGAAAATAGTCTGTATCTATATCCACGGACGTCATTGTAGTGTTTAAAGTTGAAGGTATTTTTTTTGAATATTGATATTGTAGCATGTTGTTGCACAATACAAAACTTCACAAGAATTAAACTCTCAGACAAAAACTGAAAACTAGGTATATTGTTTATAGTATTAACTATAAAAAAAATAAATAGAATTAGTCCTATGCAAATGGCGGCGGGTTGCGAGATATGTCTAACGGTCTAACTATACTTTAGCGGGTAGCATAGTGTTCAATAAAAATGATAAGAAATCGTAGCCATATCGGTCTCTACGAACACCAACGTTACGAAAAAAATTGAATTATAAATGTAGTTACACCAACAACATTCTTATCATTGGTATGCAATCCTAATTACGGAAAAATATATTTATGAACTACATAATATTAACTATATCGATGCCCCAGTTCAAAACTGCAATAACACAAAAAAAATTCAAAAATGAGTTATGTGTGTCATATTGTTTGCCATTTTACGATTTCAGTTCAAAAACGCAATATAATGTAACTTAATTATTATCCACGAGATAGCGTTTATTTTACTTTAGAAACGTATATTTATAAAAACAAAATTCAAAAGAGAACTAAGTCGACATATTGCGTTTTATACATAGTTATTGCATCAATTTTTTTTCTTTATCAGTTCAAAAACGTAATATGTACTTGTAATTATTTTGTATTAAAACTTAAGTTTAAAAACAAGCTAATCTTATATTCAGACTATTAAGTCAAATATTCATACCAAATTTGGTAATTTTATCTCAATGAAAACACCTTAGAAAATCAAAAAATAATCTCCCTACAATTCCACTTCAAGAAAATTGCCTTTCATAAAAAGGTCTATATTGTGTACATAGGAGTAAGCTTTCTGATAGAAAAAGTTCACACACACACAAAAAAAAAAATAATAATAATAAATAAACATTATTGTAAAACCAATACATTCCTTGCTCCACGTTGTAGACCACGATTTAAGATATACAGGTTAAAACAAAGGCCTATAGCAGATAGTCCTGTGAAGGTAAACAAACTATCTAAAACAGCTGTAAGCTAGTGATCGTTGTTGTTATGTATTAATATTTGTGAGGGTTAAGTTCAAAAGCGTAGTAATATATATAATATATAATACTATATAATCAGGGCCTGATTAATCAATAAATTAAAAAGGTTGCAGCCTAGGGTGTCGTTAAATGGGGGGGGGGGTACCCAATAAACAAAATTATTTTTTTTTCCAACTTGTATCTGGGATATATAAATCAATGGTGGATTTAGACAATTGATATTAGTGGTGCACATATTAATTTAGATCACCCAACTAAATTTTAAACATTACTATTATTACCAATATTAGTTTACCTTAAAATAAATATTAAATACCCATTGTTATATAATGTGTTTAACATATATTTTGCAATATAATTATATGTAAAAATGCCCTAATAACCATACTTTAAGCTCATATTTAATAAAAAAAAACGGTTTACAATTTTATTGAATTTGTATTTGCCCCATAATAATTTTTGGGTAAATGGACACCAATATCTCTGGTTTAATTCACGATAGTAAAAAAAAATCTGGGGGAAAATAAACAAATAATCAGTATATATTAATTTTTTTTTTCAAATGGTTATTAAGTGGGTTTTTACATTTACCTCATAATATAGTTTAAGATCGGGACCAAAGTTAATAATACAATATAAATACACAACAAAAAATTGATAGGGCAAATGAAAATGAAACAAAATAACAATGTATTAAGGCAAATAAATGTATACTTTATTATTTTTCAAATAAAACAGTTTATATAATTATTCCTGTATTAATATCCTCTTTAAACTATGTAGGTTTATCAGTTTTTTATGTCCCATACTATAAATTACTTAAATTTTAATAAAATAAGTCTAGTTCCAAAATTAACAATAAATATAAAATAAACATTATATAATAATACTTTTGAAACACATATAACAATCAAATATGCTATCTATAACAGTAAAAAAAAAAATTAAATTAAAAATTAAAAATACAGCAAATAAATGTAGGTATAAGTCTTTTTAGTACCAACATTAACAATAAAATATAAAATAAAAATTGCACTTTTTGAAACACAAATTATACAATACCTAGGAGTTAAATAAAACAATAAAATAGGAAATTACTTACCTACCTATAATAATGAAATAATAAACGAAAAATACAGCAAATAATAATAAGAATTCCTATTTTAATACATTATATATTAAATATAAATGAACATTGTATATATATGTATAATTATTTAAATATAATATATTTAAAATGTTGTGTATATAATTTTTATGTTACAATGTGAACGTTAACATTATTTATACAATAGATTTACATGATAAATGGCCATAGGGGTAGCTATTTTGGAAGGGGTGAGGGGTATGGAAGAATTTATAGAGAAAGGTTGATTTATCGTGATTTCATTTTACTAACTTATATTCAGGATAATTTAGTTTTATATAATTTAAACTGCCTTTTAGATTCTGTGTGGAGCGAAGAAGCTTTGTTTTACAAAAATGTTTATCATTTTATTTTTTTTTCTATGATAACTTTTTCTACCAGAGGACTTGCTCCGATTTGTATGTGTAGCACTTTTTCTGAAAGGAAATCGGTGTGTGGAGATACCTCAAAGAGATCATTTTTCGGTTTTCTCAAGAATTTTCTTATAAAAAAAAAAAAAAAAAGTAAAGGTAAAATGTAAGAAAAGTATTTGTATATTATCACATTTTTTTTTCCTTGTGCATAACTTTTCAACCAACAATTTTGCTTCAATTTATAATGATAAAAATGTTTATAAAAGTTGTTGTTTTATTAACTTCATGTATTTTAATAATACATTATACATTTCTTTTTATTTCATTATCCGTCAATACAAGAGAACATTGTTCTAATGTGACCAATTTTTTTTAAAATTAATTTATACAATTATCAAATCATCAATTTAATTTTATCTTCTTTGTAAAAATTGTGGTTTATCGAAATGTTTGCTGGTTTCCTTAACACTGAATATTTAATACATGAAAGTTAAAGTGAATATGATATGAATATGAAATATAATATATTAATTTAATATAAATTTATTTCATATTAATAACAATAAAGAATCAGTTGGCAATAATTCATATATTTTTGCCTGGGGGTACCACTATCCGATTAGCCATGAGTAGTACTTCACTAAGTAGTTTGACATTGTAAATTGTGCGCGATCCCATGTAAATAATCATTGGTGTCACAATGCTGCAAACTTCCCCTTTTTGCCTCATTTCCCACCATAGAACAGATACACACAAATGCTAGTAGAGTACCGAAACTAAGAATTCGCTCGTTCAAAAAATATATCATTGACGTAAATACTAGTCGGCATATACTCGTCGGCATAAATACATGGAACCCAATTTCCAGATACACAAATGTTTGCGGAACGTAAGTACACGTAGGAACAAATATTTTGTGATTGGTAAACATTTCTACCAAAAACATTTATTTCAACACACTTATGTTCCGCAAATGTTTCTTTCAATAGACTTTTGTTCCGCGATAGTTACTCCATAAAACGTTTGCTCCACATTATGTGTTTTGAACAAATAATTATTGGAATGAATGATTTTGAAACAATTGTCTATCGGACTATGCAAATGTTTATGTTAACAAATAGGACGTACAAATATTTGAACACTTCTTTTAAAATCATTTGTTCCAGTAACTATTTATTCCATGAAATACTTCTTCCACACATTTTGTGGAACAAATATTATAGGTCCACCAGATTATATATAAATGTATTAAATTAGATTATAATATAAATATTAAATAAATATAATATTGGTATTCAATTTAATGAACATATATAACCATAAAAAACATGCAATTTTAAATTTTTTCATTAACCTTTGGTTTAAGTGGCCACATGTTAATTATGTTCAGTCGAGCCCAAACTTTACAGATATTAATAGATATTAATTATAGATGTATTGGAACAAATTTCTGGCTAACGCTCTTCAAAACTAACAACTTCAAAATTAATTAGTACCTTAATTATATAAATAACAAGAAAAATATATGGTAGAATAATTTTTAAAAATATCAGAATGATTATGATCTGTGTGTGTTAAATAGCCCTTACTTTTGCTTGGACTAAATCGACCAAATTGGCCAATATTAGAATTTAATTTTTTTAGTCTTAGTTTATTAATTCGGAACCATCCATGTGTTCGACAAGTTAAATTATCAATCAGATGAACAANGGTGTTATCGACATTTAGCCTTAACGTTTTTTTTTCCATTTTAGGCCCGGTGCACACGTGCGTTTTTTTTACGCGTGGCACCGCTGCGGCTCGATAAGAACTCGCAGCAAAACTTGCACGCAGATGAACGCGCGTCACCGTTAGTACGTGTGCAGTACGCCTACAGATTGTGTGTACTTCACGCCGCAATTGCGGTGCTGCAGCGGTGCCACGCGTAAAAAAAACGCACGTGTGCACCGGGCCTAAAATGGAAAAAAAAACGTTAAGGCTAAATGTCGATAACACCACATAATTTTGATAACACATTTCCATCATCTAGTAAACCAATTATTTTGTTGATTGATGATCGGATGCATCGAGAAGCAATCTGATTAGTACTCAGATTAATCAAATTTGGTAAGGAATATCGAAATCCATTGGATTGTTCATCTGATTGATAATTTAACTTGTCGAACACATGGATGGTTCCGAATTAATAAACTAAGACTAAAAAAATTAAATTCTAATATTGGCCAATTTGGTCGATTTAGTCCAAGCAAAAGTAAGGGCTATTTAACACACACAGATCATAATCATTCTGATATTTTTAAAAATTATTCTACCATATATTTTTCTTGTTATTTATATAATTAAGGTACTAATTAATTTTGAAGTTGTTAGTTTTGAAGAGCGTTAGCCAGAAATTTGTTCCAATACATCTATAATTAATATCTATTAATATCTGTAAAGTTTGGGCTCGACTGAACATAATTAACATGTGGCCACTTAAACTAAAGGTTAATGAAAAAATTTAAAATTGCATGTTTTCTCGTTTACCTACTTACATTTTTATTTTATGAAAAATTGTACAGCATCATTATAGAACTAATTATTTACTAAATACAATTTATCTATATATTTAATCGCAGAATTATCCCTTATTTGTAAAAATATGTTCTACAATATTTGCACAAACGTTACATTAAACCTATGGCTCATCAAATTACAGGTATTGATTTAGCAAATAATTAAAAATCTTCATTAAGCAACAAACAATAGCGCACTTAAATTTCAAAAACCTGCGTAATAATCAAAGCTATATGATATTTTAACATCTTCTTAAACTATGTAAAAACAAAAGCAGATTAGACTATAATAACTATTTGAAATTATTTAAAACTCAATCAGCAAAAACAGTAAACTATTCTGGAATTTTATTAAATCAAAATCATTTCTTAGCTCATTACCAAACTGTTAACTTAAATAATTAATGTGCTGAGTTAAGTTAGGTTAGAAATCTAAGTCACCAGTAAATGACTGTACTTTATTTATATAATCTAATTAATATTAATAATATCAATACATCAATTAATATTATTAATTATCGACTTACATAATTCTTTTATTAAACTAAAAAGCTTCATACAAATAAGTCCAGATGGCTTATCAATTAATTTCCGAAAATTCTGTATAAATTATATTGTTATTCCTATCCAGTATATCTGTAATTTATCAATTTCATCCAAGATTAAAAAAATAGAAGATTTTGAAGATTTACTAGAAATTCGTTAGTATAAACCGTTGTAAATTACCACTTGAAAATTAAACCGGTGTGAATTTGAGAAGTTTTGTGAAGTAAATGGTGTTAAAATTAACGACACGGGTTTAATTTTTCTGTACCATCACGTGTATATGGTGCAAACTTTTTACACCGGTTTCATCTCGTCTCATTTCCCCCTCGAAATAATAATTGAACGGATAAATGATAATAATAATTTTAGATAGATAGATATATATTTATTAAACAAAAAATTAATAAATATATATAACACCCCAAAGGGTAAGAATACAGTAAGCGAAAAACAACAATTATCATTAAATTATAAACACAAATTTTTAACTTAGAACAGGAATCGAAAAAAAAAAAAAATTAAAATTATGAACTTGATTACACAATAATGGTAGGCGACACTCCGGACTATTTGAAAAGTAATTGTTTTTAAAACGACGAGTAACAACAAAAGGTGGATTAATTCTGGAGTTAAAAGAGGGTACTTTAAGGCAAATGTTTTGTAATAATTCAGGGCAGTCGATAGAACTTGAAGACTTTAAACCCATAAAGTTAGCAATCTCATCGGCGTTATGATAAGGATAATTAGTTTTATAAGCATAAAAACGTAAAAAATGTTTTTGAACCTTTTCTAATTTATTAAATAAACCAGATTGATTAGGATTCCATAATACAGTACCATATTCAAGTATTGATCTTAACAACGAAAAATAGAAGTTTTTCATACATACAGCAAAACAAGTTTAATAAGACGATAAGTGATAATTGGCTATATCCCGTGTGAGTCGTTATAACTTATCAAGACAGATAAGAAAGAGGTATAGAAAGAACGCATTTATATTAAGTACTTACTAGAGAGAAATGGGAAGTATTATAGTATAATAATAGTATAAGTAATACACTAATAATTTAATTAATAGTATACTTATTATTGTTAATTTTAGACAATGGTGGGGATACACTGATTTCAATCATCGAATATCTATACGGGTGTAAAATAATCGGTATCAAATGTTAGTAAACCGGTATAAAACATATCGGTTCGTATCAAGACATTTATAATTAATATCTAAAATAATTAATCCTTTATTCAAAAATATTCTTTCGATAGTTAACGTGCTAGAAATTCATTTGGTTATGTCGCTATAAATTTCCTCGAAAAAATATCGGTATACCAGTGATTATTTACCGCGTTAAATTTGACCTCCCTGTAAAATATTACAAGTGAATCTCCGATAAAATGTCTCTATAGTGTAGAGAAATAATAACAATAGTCGACGGCCGAGTTGTGCGCATGGGCGTGGCATTCTCTACGGCGCGGAGCGCAAGCACTGCCGTCCCGGAAGCAATGATATTAACTCATGGAAAAGATAATCCTTGACTAATAACTGAATAAATATTTGAATAGAATAATCACAATAGATAATATTTACATTTGCAAAAACTTGAAAAATTGTAAAAAATAAAAAACCATACTTTAAACCACCAAAAATTTTCTAAAAATCTATTTTACAAAATGGCTATTTTGAATCCTTTTAAAAAAATTAGAGTAAAAGTAAGCTTTTTATTTTAAGTACCACCCCCCCCCCCCCCAAAAAAAAAGAAAAACAATGTTCTTATAAACACTGTAGTATAGAGGCATATTAATTATTTAAAAAGATATTGAATAGAACAAAAGTTATTTCAAGTGGGAGATCATCGTGGACTACTCTATATTGGAAAAACTAACTTGTTTTACATTGATAGGGAAAGTGGTGGAGTCACTGTGACGGTGCACGCATAGAAACTATCTCACACTAATAATCAAGAGACTTGAAATTTGTACAGAAAACTTAATTTTGCCTTTTTTAGACATTTTCAAAATATTTAAGCCACCTTTAAGCTTTTTATAAAAATTTAACAAATATTATTAAAGACAATTTTTAATGCCTATTTTATTATTTTACTATAATATGACATGTATTGTTGACAAAGCATCACTATCAACCGAGCTACATTCAGAATCATGTTTTCGTTAGCAATGGTTTATTGTTGCTTACAGGTACACATTAAATTACATAAAACATTGGCTGCACCCTACTTCATTAATCCTAGGACGTCTTTTTCATAACTGATTTTATAGAAATATATAAATCAAAAAAATAATTTTTTTTTTGTGAAGAAATATTTATCAACAAGTTTCATAAAATATCTTGCTGTTCTAATTATTTATATAAAAATTTAAAAATTTGTATAGCGGACCATTATTAAGAAATAATGGTTTTGATTACTCTTTCAAACTAAATGATGAAAATTTTCTAGAAATATTAAAACTTCGAATCGAGTCTGGGGATAAGGAATAATAAGGTCATTTTAAAAATACTAATTCCAAAGCTACATAATATATCAGTAAAACTACACACAATGAAATTAAATGTCTATCTGTAGTAAATTAACTATAGATAATATTATCAACAATGTAAAATTTTCTCCATATTCTAGTAATATAAATTCGACGAAACAATAGATAATGAAAACTATTTAATAATAATATGTGAAATTTTACAGGGCGGCAAATATTCTCCAGTGTAATTTGACTCCCGATAAATATTTTCCATAATCTATTCGGAATAATAACAGAAGTTGGAAGCTATACGAGTTTTCGTCTTTGACGGTCATAGTCATGCTCTTGTAATATTCGCTCTCAAGGACGCATATTAACATACCATACATTGCTACATGGACGGTCGTTTTTAATTGGCTTATTTCAAAAAGTGCGTTTTAAATTTTACAAACTTTACATTGTTGATAATATTATCTATAGTTAATTTACTACAGATAGACATTTAATTTCATTCTGTGTAGTTTTACTGATATATTATGTAGCTTTGGAATTAGTATTTTTAAAATGACCTTATTATTCCTTATCCCCCGACTCGATTCGAAATTTTAATATTTCATCATTTAGTTTGAAAGAGTAATCAAAACCATTATTTCTCAATAATGGCCCGCTATACAAATTTTTAAACAATATTAAATAATAAACAAATTACTTACAAATCATAGGTATATGTTAGTAAAACCAATAGGTATGAAACACTAATTTGACTATAATGCAATGAAGAATCGTAAAATACAGATATATGCTGTACATATCAGAAAATGACAAAATATGCAAAATAAAACTTTGTATTTCGGATCTATTGTTCCTTAATCAAACTTGTAGCGTATCTTGCTACTTTTTCAACTGTTAAAAGAAAAACATGCAAATGTATATAAATCCGGGACATAGTGACAACTTATTATTTTTTTAATATGCGGAATCCTTATTATAGAATTGTATTAATGTATTATTAATTACATTAAATAGTAGATTACAAAAATTATGATAGATCATCTTTGGTACAAATTAACTACATGTAGATCACATACAACACAGTTAAATGAAGAAAATAAGTGTTAGGTAAAATAAATAAATAAAATGGTCAATAGACCGGAACCTAACTTTAATGCTAACCCCTTAAAATCTATACTGAAATAGGTAATGTAAAATCAATACAAAAAGTAGGTAAAAGATTTAATTAGGAATAAAAACTTGTTTAAAATAAATTATCAGAATTATTGAATTTAATATCTCAGTGAATATATAATCAGACAATTGGTCCAAATTTAATGTTCGTAATTTTTAACTTTAAAGTGAAATTATGTACCTACCTATGGGACATTGAGAGCTATGAGAGTTTTTGTTAAAAAGAGATTATGAGCTGTAGATTTTGACTAACGAGTCTAACATACAATATGATGTTTTTATAAAATTCAGTTTGTTTTTAAATTGTATAACTTGTATAATCAATTTTTTAGAAAAAATATGGCTGTAGTTCATTTTTTCTTTGAAGAAACACAATTCACTGGTTTCACTAAAGGTGAACTGTTTGGATTCACAGAATTTTTATGTAAGTACAATTAATAACAAGATACAATAATTTTTCTTTCAATCTTTGATTAATTTATACACTTTTGAAATAAATATAAGTAATAGACATATTATTTTAACTTACCAGCATTGATTACTATGATACTAGGTAAAGATAATATTATACTTGAACTTTTAAATAGTGAATATTTTGTTTAAAAATTAAATTCTTTATCTTTTCATTCACTAAAATTATATTTATTTTGCTATTTCAGCTAACACAGGAGGACTTTTAGGTTTATTTATGGGTTTTAGTTTCCTCAGTGCAGTTGAAGTCATATATTTCATTTCATTACGTTTATGGTGTGCTATGTCGAAAAAAAAAAAAATTAAAGATGTAACAGTTCATCTTGATGACTAAGTAATTTTTAATGTACAAAATAATAATAAAAACTAATGTAGTCTTTTAGTAATAGTAATAAGTAGCTTTAAAATCACATTTTAATATTTGTTGATGTATTATAAAATATAATAAAAATAATAGCAACATTGATGAATTATATATCTATAACCTAATTACTCAACCTGTAATTTAAACCAATACTAATGATTACAACTTTTTTTAGGAACATCATTAATTATATATAATCAATTAATTGATAAAATGGTATTTAATTTGTTTTAAATTATTACTTAAAACTAATAAAAATGTTTAATTTATCATTAATGTAAATTTGGTAGACATTTTTATGACTATGGAATAATCAACTGTTCAGTTATAATATAGTATAGGTAATATATTATTTTCATGTTTTTTGAAAAATAAATAATTTTGTTTATTTACTCGTATTGATTATAGTACACATTATATACAAACTTAAATATAAAACCATATACAAAACATTAATTTGTTTAAATAAAATAATAATATACATTGATAAATACATCAAAGCACTATTAATATATTTATGATAGTATTAATATGTTCAGTATTTTATTAACACATGAGGTATGAACATATTTTGTATTAGGTGGTGTGCTAAACAGTGATATTTTCAGGTAATTGTCTTAAGAAAATTTGGATGGATGAGTGAGTTGGTAAATTAATGATTTTTTCTTTAAAAACATAGTATGGAGTTTTATACTAATGAATTACTATGTCGGTGGGTGAATGTAAATATTAATCTTCCTTTACATAGTCAAAATGTTTTGACATGCTACTGTTGTATTAATAATTATATTTCAAATCAACATAAATTCAATCATATTTTCATATCGTTAACTCTACTTAACAGACACAAAAATAAAAAAAATACCTTTATTATTTAAGTTGCAAACTACCAAACCCGGACCATAGGGAAGCAGGAGGCATCTGCCCTGGAGCGCCAGATTTTTTAAAGAATGTCCTATTTAGAGAATACTATTAGTGATTATGATAGTGTACCTACTCGGTGCGCGCACTCACCTACACATATTCACTAACTATAATTTTAAATTTTACTTGTTTTTTTATATGACATGTTTAAAATATATTAATAATATATATATTAAAGAATTTCGTAATAAATATGATCAAATAAAGCAAAGTGCTAAATAAATAACAGATGAAACATAATACTTCAGTGAATTATCTAGACAAAAATAAATAATTTTTTTGATGAAGAAAATACAGAAGAAATTTTTCAACTCTTCAGGAATCTTTTCAAATAAAAACCCAAACATGTTTTGTTATTACTGATACAATGATTTCTGAATTGACTAAAAAAAAAATTGCTTATGATAAAATTTAATTATTTTATTTATTCTGGGAAAACTAAAATCGGAAGAAGGCAGATTACTTTCAAAATATTTATTGCGATGGTATAAAAAAAGATTTTATTCAAGAAGCAGTGCAATTGAATTTTATAGTGAATTATATTTTCCCGAAATCAGATGAGCCAAACCAAGCTAAACCAAATACACACAATTGATTGACAATTCTGAGAAACAAAAAATTGGATAGTTTATTTTATAATATTGAAATTGCATCGTGATTTTATTATACTCTGCCAGTATCTAATTGTTCGGTGAAAAATCGTTTTCCGCCTTAAAGAGTCAAAAACTATTTGCGATCTATTTTTTCAAAAGAAAAATTAAGAACTTGCTGTTCTTAATATTGAAAATGTTTTCCTTGAATCTAATTTGTAGGATAAATGTACTGACCAATTCGTGACATAGAAGTTAAGGACAGCATTTTTATAAAAATATTATAATTAACAAAAATAAAATAATGTAGGTACTTGTGTAATTTACTTAGTATTTTATAAAATTTTAATTAATTAATTTAACTTCAATTTTAATTATGTTTACAAAATTTACAATTGTTATTTTTATAAATTTATTCATATTCCTATTGTTTATTAGTTTGTATGGTTTTATAAAAAAATTGAAAACATATTATTTCATTATTTTTCATATGACTTAATAAAAAGTGTGGTAATTAAAATACTAACTAAATGATGTATAGATAAGAATGTAGGTTAAACAATTTTTAGAGCGGAAGAAGCTTTATACTAATCAACAAACCTACCTTCCACTAGAGAATAAAATTAATAAATTATAGTTAAACAATTTCATGTCAATAAAAAATAAGTTCTAAATCTTAGAGAGATTTGCCCCAGGACGCAAAATTTCTTAATCCGACCCTGCAAACTACACAAGGTATATAACCACATATATCCACGATTATAGCTTTGTAATTATTGTAATAAATTGGTACAACTCTATTTTACAAATGGAAAAGATATATAGGTACCTAATGTTGCTTATTCTGGAAAGTTTCATATTTGTGATTTGCAGTAACTTTATCTGTAGGATACAGACATTCATCATCTATTAATTTAAAGTTAATTCAAAATGTGTAAGATAATTTATTTTATACACAATTAGTATTTGTTAATCTCACTATGAAATAACAATAAATAATACTTGGAATGTATTTTGACTATTGCAAGTAAATAAATAACTAAATGTGAAATATCAAGATAATAAGAAAGTTTGCAAACTTCTTAAGATATTTTCAACCTGATTTGGCATACATAAAATATGTTAAAAACTATTGAATAAATTCTTTGGCTCATTTGGAAATTTAGTTATTGAATGTTAAGTAAATAGGTAAATTCTTATAAGAATACATACAATTTGATCTTTACACATTATGTATTTTGTATCTATCTACTGTAATAATTGTAATAATTAATAAAGTTAAAAATCTTACTTGTTAAGTTGTAAATTGTTGAAACCATAGACAATAGGTTAAAATATAAATACCGCCGAAACAAATATTTAGTTTAGATAATAATAATGACACTAAAAATAAAATAAAGTTATAAAAATATAGGCACTAAAAAAATATTCTACGATAATGATGAAATGTTTTCAAACGACATCACGATAAATAAACACTAGGTAATGGAAGACCGGTGATGTTCAACATAATGCTAATACATAAACAACATAAAGCACTAAAATGCACTAAGCACTGAGCACTGAGCAGTGAACTATGGATTTCAACACAAATGGATTATCATAATTGAATCCAAGTGATAACAGTACATCCTGCTGTTGATTTGTATTCATGGAAAATTGGCCGTGTGAGTATAACGCTTTTAGGCTTAGAGTGGGGATAATGTTCACTGCTCAGTGCATCGATCAACGGTAACGGCGCTCTGTTGGCAAAGTTACATAATAAATTTAAAATAACCACCCACATAGGTTAGCACAATATTATTATTAATGATGACGTTTGCACAGTAATGAAATTTGTTGGTAACATGATGTATATACTCTATGGTAAATGAATATCACAGATAATATACATTAAATTATTGTTATCTAAGGATATTACCAATAATTATTATCTATCATTGATAAAATAAATATGTATTTTGATTTATGGGCGAGTTTAGAACAGACTTATATATTGGTATATAATTAATAAATAAATAATATTAATAATAATCTATCGTCTATGGTTCAAAAACCGATAATTTTTCCTCTCTGTTATTGATGCAATTTCGAAAAAAATGATAGTTTATTAAACATGTGGCTTTCCATTGATGTACGTAGGTACATTCGTAAATGTTGTATTTAGATCACGGCTATACCTATAACTGATATTAATGGAGACACCAGCCGTGTCTAGAGACAGCCCGAATAAGCGATTCACTAATATTTTATGCGTACTTGGTCATCTGCTCGGATTCACTAACTAAACAGATAAGTATTTGAAAAAATATTAATAATAGTTTTTTTTTTCTTTTGAGAGTTATATAAAATGGAATATAAATATCACCGATAAATTTAAAATACAATTTTAAAAAAATTAAATAATTTGGTCATAAATATGTGAACTCGAGCGACTCGGTACGCATTAATCATTTGCTCATTTGGAATGTCTAGTCGCTTGTGATGAATCTATAGTCTATCTCTATTTTAATATAAAATCGTGCCATCAATCCATCATATACTCTTTCAAATGTGTGCACTTAAACATTTGATCAATTCATATTTACCTGTTAAACTCTACTAGAGTTTATTCTTATGACTTTAATGAACTGTATTACTGTACTTCAAAAACCAAATCAAATTACTTCCATTAATCAAATGATGGTTGACAGCATTAATCATAAATTTATTAATTCACAAATTTATGATCTACTTCTCAGTATCTTCTAAAATAGTGTCTTATTCTTATTATTAGAGCTCAGTACTTATTGCACATAAAATCCACACAAAAGCACATAAAAAATATTCAAAAGTAAAAGTGGTAAAAGGGTTTAAAAGTCCCACATTTAATGGCTAAAAAAAATGTATTAAATAAAATTCTACTTCTCATTAAAAAATTACTTTATATTAATTATTTTTGTAGTCTTAAAAATTGTTTTGTAATGAGTTATACAAAAGGGACTTTTTAGCTATTATACCAATTTTACTCTGTTTTAACTATTTTTAAAGGGCTTTTTTAGTGAATTTTAAGTCAAATAAGTCGCGAGTCCTACTTATTATTAAAGTCTTAATGGTGGATAATAATTGTATGTAAATTATTTAAAATTTGTTTTTTAATAATAAAAAATGACTAGGTATTGTTATTGTTTGTTAAAAATTAATTTTACAACACGATTTTCATATTGTACTAATATTATAAATGTGAAAGTTTGTGAGGATGGATGGATGTTTATAACTTTTTCACTCAAAAACTACTGATTGGATTGTGACGAAACTTTATAGTATTATTGTTTATAAATCAGAATAACATATAGGCTATAATGTATAACGATATTGAGTTGATTGGCCAAATCATAACAATAAGTGTTAAATAAGTCGAAAAAAATCCTGTTATCTGAGAGCTATTTTGGCGTGATTTGCATAAAAAAAAATATATGGTGGGACTGTTTCTCTCCAAAAGATCTAAAAATCCTACATAATTATTTTTTATTAGAGTTCAATTTGTTAGTATAAATGATAATAAACAATCACATGATAGAGAGTATAAATGACAAGTCAAATCTCAAGCAAAACTGAGGTGAGATAGCACTAAATTAACTATATTATTCACAGCCAAATAATTATAAAGGTTATATGGGTTTAAAATAATAATAAAATCTAACAATAGCTAAGCATTACCAGGACGGCTATCATTTATAATTGTGCTGTACATAAAGCATGGTTTCAGGTAATATTATGTATATATACAGTACCTTTATATTACCTATTACTGTTATATTTATTAAGGTCAAATACTATAGTTTCTAGACTTAAAGTGACATTGAATGGTCGGTAAGTAAGTGGAGATAGGATTTATATTTGGACAAGAGTGATTGTAACTGCTTTAATAAACAGTACACAAGTACTAGTAACTTATAATCAGAATATTTGTCTATGATTGTACCGGTAAATGGACAATTGGTCCCTGTTAAATAAACAAGCGCTGCCTACCTAATGAGGGATCAAACTTACTAAAGTGTGTATGATACATTATGGTAATAATTACTAATTATTAATATTTTTAATTTTAAATAGTGTATAGTGTAATTTAAAACCTATATGAGTAGATATTTTTTATTCATTTATTTCAATAGTTTAGAAAAATTTAAAATTACAAGTAGGTAATAGTTTTTATTTATATTAATTTTGATATTTTTATAGAATTTTTCTTGTATGATATTTTACTGTCATACCTTTTATAATTAAATAAAGTAAATATCATTCCTGTGTTCAAATTGAAACTAATTATATAATATTTGGTTCATACATTTTGATTTTCCAGGCAGCTAACTTTAAAAGGAACTTCAGTAACAAAATGCAGCTCATGGAATTTTTAAATTCCAAGTATCAACCATATTTCTAAAAAGTAATAAATTATTTACCCTAATATAAACTTTTCATTGAATATACAGGAAGTATAATATATGGTTATATTTATTATTTTGTTATTTTTATTCATTTTTTAGTTTTTAGAACTGATTTACATATTGATGGTCTCTAGTCTAACATAATAAGTTAAGTATCAAACCTATTTTGATTAAATTTACTAATATTTATTTTTTAAATAATAGACAACATATACACTAGTCTTTAAAAAGAATAATAATAATAATAAACACCATGCAGTTTTTGTTATATATGCTGTATGAATATGAATTAAACAATATTAAAGATTCTTAATGAGTTAATAGTACAGAATAATAATATAATAATTGGTATAGAAAATATTATACCTCGTTAGCATTAAATACTAAAGACAATTTTACTTCCTGCCAGTGGTGGCGTAAACATTTTTATTTTATGAGGCAAACATAGATGTTAGAGGTTGACCACAACCATCTGAGTGTTATTAGACAGAGTTATGGGGAAGAAGCCGCCACACATCACTCCCTCCCATATTCACCAATTTACTTACCATTCCACAAATATATACTGTAAGGCATGATGATTTTATATTTTATAAATATCAAAAATTAATACATTTGAACACTTCATATATTTTAATAATACATTATACCTTTTTTGATTACGCTATCCATCAATACAAGAAAACACTAGACTAATGATCAAAATTCTGAGTCATGTAAAACATGTGACATTTAATCGACAAAGTTTAAAAGTCTGTGAAATTTTTTGTTTTCTAAATTAATTTATAAAATTAACAATTTATCAATTTTATTTTTTCTTTGTAAAAATTGCGGTTTATTGAAATGTTTGCTGGTTACCTTAACACTGAATATTTAATACTATTTAAAGTTATAGTGAATTAGTGACATATAATATATTAACTCAATATACATATATATTTAGTTTATATTAATAATAATAACCCTTTTTTTTTTACCAATAAAGTATCAGTTGACGATAATTTATATTTTTAGCCTGGAGGTACCTCATCCAATTGGTCTTAAGGCCAACGCCTCATGAAATATTCTATAGTATTGCCACTGCTTCCTGTTGTTGATATATTTTATATTGTTTGGATGAACATATACCCGTATGTGCTGCTTCAGTCCAGCTAACAGGTAATATAATAACTATTATTGGATAATAAAAATATTACATAAATAATATATAACAAAATTACATTAATATTATAAAATCTCTTTAAAAATTTTTTTTTTTTAATAAATATCGTATATTATATTTTTACTACATACTTATTTAATAAATTAAAATACAATTATTATTATATAATGATGCTGGGGATAATTTAGATGTTTAAGTAATAAACACAAAATAATTATATTTAAATAAGATATTCCAATTTAAAAAAAATATTACATATTTTTTATAATTTTAATATAAAATAGAAGATATTTTTTTAAATTTATTAATAATTAAATATTTTTTAAGTTTTTATTTATTTTTTTTTACATTTTGGTTTTTGAATTCAAGAGTTCAGATAAAGATTATATCCCTCATCCCAGATAATATTTATTTTGTTTCTAAGGTAACCAAATCAACAAAAAATATACCACGAAATACCAAAATCCTCGTAATAGGGGATGAATAGGGGTTGAATTTCGTGATAAAAAAATAATCTATGTTATTCTGATGTAAAAACAATAATACTGTAGTTTCAGCTCAATCGGTCCAGTAGTTTTTGTATGAAAGAGCAACATTCATTCATCTTCAATAACTTCAACATTTATAATATTATAGTAGGATAACATAATATTTATATTATAAATAAATATTTCGTAGTTCAATAATTATGATTCAATTAACATAAGTAGTAAATACTAATAGTTATTAGACACTTAGCGACAAAAATAAAATTATACATTGGCACCGTATGTTAAACAGAGAAAGATATATCTACAGTATTCGCCGTCTCTTGTTATCAAGTTCTCTCAGGCAACACTGCGTAGTAAGCGTTCCAGTTATCTTAAAGCTCATGCCGTGCGTGTTAACCGCCAATCCGGGGAGTATATGTTATTATGTGTGTCATACTACCGCGGTTGTTCTATGCATCACCGCGCGGTCGTTATCAAAACCGTAACATTCAACGGTCATTGAACTCTATATAATAACGTTATCATATAGAGTTGAATGACTACAGTTCTGCGATGCGGCCACGCGCTTCTTAAAATCCAAAACACGTTGTTTTCTGTTAAGGTACGGTTTCCAAGTCGCGACCTGTCGTTGATGCGTGTTGGTTTCCTACGCACGACTGGTCGCCGAGACCAGTCTCCAGTGATGTAAAGAAAACCGTCTAATTCTGTATTCAGTATCATTGTGATTTTCGTGCAGTGAGGGCTAGTGTTTTAAAGTTAAATAACAATAATAAAATAATGTTACTTCTTCTTGAAGAAGAGTAAAAGGATGATGATTTATTAATTACAACACAATGCGATCAGAGAGAAAAAGTTGATGCACTTTTTCTTAATAGGAAAAGTGAAGGATACTTTGAAATTTTAATAAATAGACATTTAATACGAAATGAAACAAAATTTCAAAATGAACCATTTCGATCAGTTGTTCTTCTTCTCCCGGAAAATGCAATTTAGCCATATTGCTTTACGGGACAGTCGAAATACACTACCCAAGAGCTGGTTTGTGAATGAAATAAATCAACAGTCGCAATACACTGCTCTCGGACTGGTAGTGTCGCCGGTTGTCACGATAAAGTTCAGTCGCGCGTTGGAAACCAGTCAATAGGAATTACATACTAACAGTTGAACGGCGACCGGTCGCGCCTTGGAAACCGTTCCTTTAATAGTGTCACACTAAACTACTATAGTCGTAATACCGCGCGGTTATGTACAATAGGTATTCTTCAAATCTACAATGAGTGAAATATTTGATACTGAGAGGTTTTATTGCTAAAATAGAAACGTTTGAATGCATATGGCGTAGTGATTCGCCTATGTATTTAAAGAGGAATGGAAAAGAAAATTCTTGGAATGCTGTAGCGTCATCAATGTATGATGATTGACAAGTGTATAATGAAAAAGAAAAAAAGGTAAAAGTAAGTATCGTAGACCAATATAATATTTAGTCAATAATATAATCAAATTTACATGGACAAATTATAATGTGGATTTTTTAATATATATAGTTGCTACATTTTTCGCACTAAAAATCTGGTAACAATTATAATAATAAATATAACAATTATATTTGTTACTTGTACAGTATGATCATATTAATAATTATATAAGTTATTACAACTATAACAATAAAAATTAAAAAGTTAATCAAGAAAATATATTAGATATTATTTAATTAATGATATTAACACTGTAAAAATAAATTATGTTTTCATAGTAAATTTAAAGAATTAAAAATTAAAATATTAATAAAATGTATGTTTTTGTTTCTATCGCCCAACATTATTCCCAATTTTCAAAATAATTTATGTCTATGATTATTTCATATATTTGTGACGAGTATGATTTAGAATAGTATCTTAAATTGTGGTGACAAGTGATAATTAATTTAATAAAATTATGACCTATAGAATAAAATATGTTTCTACATGATTGTCCTGACTCTATATTGGAGACAATTATTGATATGTCAATAGTACGGAGTCCATTTGTTGTATTGATTATTTTCCAATAACAATCTATTTGTTAATAGGTCTTTGCAAAATTTGTAATGAAAATCAGTCTCCATGAAATAAATAATATATTAATAACTATACCATGAAAAAATGACGTCTAAAAATTTTTAAACTGAATAAAGGTGATAATACTGTTTTAATAATATATAATATATATTATTATAAATATTTATATATGTATATACAATTATACAATGGATATTGGATATCTTAATTTATGTGATATTAAAATTAAATATTATGAAATAATAATATGTGTTTTATTTTTTATTCATTCAATATATGATTTATTACTATATCAAATATTTAAATCAGTAGATAATAGAGGTGTATGCACGACCATCAGAGTTGTGTCCCGAGAAATAAGTATTACGATAGTACTTACCATTAGATCGTGTAACAGTCTTTGGCCCTATCTAAATTGATTATATATTATAGGCAGGTTATACCTATTATATTTTGTCTACAATTAATTATGAATTATTTATATTTGTAATAACGTTTTCACCGTGATAAAATAAATTTATAATAATAATAATTTTTTTTTACTAATCACTGGTTTATTATAATTGTGAAATAAAACATTCACATAACCATTTATAATATTTTTCTTAATTTATTTGAATATATTTTTTATTTAAAATGGTTAAGTGTTTTGTAGTATATTGCAAATCTGGTTATACAACTTACAAGAATAAGGTAAATAAATCATTGAAATTTAATCATTATCTACATTTTGAAATTATAATTATTGGATGCATCCAGTGGTTGAATTTAAAAAGACTTAGCGTATTGGTGCAAAAGTGAAAAAAAATGGGTAGGTATCTATACTTAACCTTATTGACTAGAATATGAGAGGGTGACTTGTAAATAGAAGTATTTATTATTAATAATAATAATAATTCTTTATTTATAGAGTTAAACTCCATTTTACATAAAATAAATAAATATTTTCTTTGATCATAAAGTAAAAATATATTTGTGTGTACATATTTGTTGACAGGTTCAATTGAAAATGCTAAAATTATTGAATGGAGTTATTCTGTCAATATTTCCAAGATGTCCTATATTGTGTGTACCAAAAATTATAAAAAAAAAAAGCAAAAGTTCTAAAAAGAAAAGATAATGTGTCTGCATCCCAAAAATTAATCATGAAAAAAAATCCATTAGTGCTAAATCATATAGTATTATAGTATATCATCAGGTCAGTATTCATTCTTTTGCTCATAAAATGAAAGTATAGTATTTGTTTATTTATTTATTTGAATACAAAAACAAAAACTTAAATAATTGATTAACAAACACAGTGAAATAGTACTAAATATAAAAGATTATAACAATAGTTAATAGTATAAAAGTAAAATATTTTAAGGTGTAGACAAAGGTCAATCCAGATTTGCCAGCTTAACCATCCTATGCAATGGATGATTATGGTTATACGAAGTTGAGTGAGCTGGAATACAAAAATGAGTTTTGTTCCTGGTGTTATATGAGAGAACTTTAAAAGACACACTAGAGAGTAGGTCGGGAGCATCAAGTAAATTGTTGAGGAGATTGTAAAGAAATCGAAGGTCTACCTCGTTCTTGCGCGAAGACAAGGAAGGTAAATTCAGGATACCAAAAATTGAGTAGTAGTCATAGTTAGGAGATGGCAAATTAAGTTTGAATACGACATGTGATAAGAACCTGTGCTGTATAATCGTATTTGATCCTCAGCAAGGTAAGGATGCCAAATAATAGCACCATACTATATAATTAGTTAGACAAGAGCACAATACAAAGAACGAAAAGAATTAGTTGACTTGAAAAACTTGGTATTACGCTTAACAAAACCTTACACCTTTAGTGCTCTACCAGTGACAACATCTATATGATGGCTAAAAGAAAAATATCAGGAGTATTGAATATTAAAGTCTTTAATAATGGGAACATGCTGTGGATTAGAGTTAAAATTGATAAAAGGAGATTCACAACAAATTAATTTTTTGAATGCATGCTAGATGGCTGTTGAGAGTGCAGATTGTCTGGTTTTGGAGTAAGTCGAATTTAGGAGATATAAGTAGCCCTGTTTTTATATATAATTTTACAATTTTAAATTTACTCTGCATTCAATTGTCTATCAAAAATTTTAAAATATTTATTCAAAGAAAAATTTTTAAAAACATAATAACTATAATAATAATAATAATATATTATAATTTTATTTTGTAAAAATAAAATATTTTCTGATTGCCATAAAAGAATACTCACATAACCAACGTAAACTTAAACTTGACAAACACAAAAGTAGTGTGATAGCAAATTGTTTTCATTTACATTTGCAATTACATTCGTATAAGATGAGACAATATGTAAGAGAAAAAATAAGTCATCTAAAAAAATACATAGAGGTAAAAAAAAAAATACAAACTATGTATTACTTAGTTCTTAAATACTTTTAAATTATATAAATTAATAAAAAATTACATTTTATTTTAACTGATCTAACCGGTACCATTGTCTATTGTCATTTATTGACTTTGTAATTTTACCTTAATTTATTAATATTAACATTTTACCTAGCATAATGCCTAGTTTACACAATGCTTAGTACTAATTAATAATACGTGTGATACACACTCGCACCTCGCGTGTAAACAATACAAATAGGAAAACTGGGAGTACGAGTGAATAAAAACCCATTCTATTTACTAACGACAAGTAGCTACACATTGTGTAAACTATGAATTACGTCGAGTTTATAATATATTAAAAATTACATGTCTTCATTTACCTTTTATTTAAGTGCAATTTTGTTTTTAATGAGAATTTTTGTTCGTTTATTGCACCGTCTTAGAAGATAAGGTCGGACTACTATATCTTATCACCATTCCGCTTAATGAGGCAAATTCATTTCCAAATTGTACCACTCTAAAATTAAGCGCTGCTCTACATACTTATTTTGAGGTTATGATATTATACTACTTTAAAATAACCATGAATCACAGATATATATATAATATTAATATATTATATTATTATACTAGATAGCCAACTCCGTATATTATTGTATGTTTAGATATGATGTTGAAAATATAAATGATTTCTTTGAAAATACCTATAGGATCTATCTACCTATATGATATTCATAATTCCCATACTTCCAATTATTCCAATTAAATAGTTTTTGATATTTTTGTCAAGTGAATTATTTAAAGATTCACCCAAGGAATATACTTAAACAAGTACTTATGTATATTTTTGTATTTTAATTAGGTTTATTTTTTATACATAGGTGTTTTAAGTTTTTGAGAATATGAAATATTTTTTAGTTTCTGTTATATTTACTTTTTTTCTTATTTTCTTGTTGTGCAAATTTCTTTATTCTCATTCCAATATAATACATCATAGTAAATTAAATAACATCTCCATTGTGACTTGACAATGGGAAATTTATTGTATTTTCAGACATCATATATGTGATGATAAGTTCAAATGCATAGGTGGATGAAGAATGTTTTATGAAAATATATACAATTTTTTTTGATAAAATCAAAAGAAAATATTTGTGTATATGTATCAATCGTTCCTTAGTTTTCATATTAATTAATGAAGAATACATTTGTTCCAAATAAAATTGCGATGTTACAAAAGTTGATTTAAAAGTATTGCCATCACCAATGTATTTCAAAATTTGTTTAAATAGATGCACTATAAAAGTAATTAATTGATTTTTAATATTTAATAACATTTAACAAATATGGTAGATGTATCATAATATTTTGTTATGTACCAGTTAAAGAATATATTTGACAATCTATTATTTTCAATTCTATTATCTCCAATATACAATGATAGCACTTTTTCTCAAAATAAATCTGACTGGGAAGATAATTTAGGGAGATCATTTTTCGATTTTGTCAAGAGTTTTCTTAGCAAATGTGATTCAGGAAAAAATGTGGGAAAATCAATACAATATTAAACAAATATTATTAAAGAAAATATTTAATTATTTTACCATCATTTGACATTTATATTGTTGACAAAGCATCATTATCAACTGAACTTCGGTTAGAATCGTTTTTTGTTTGCAATGGTTATCGTTGCTTACAGTTATACATTAAGTTATCTATAATAATGGCTGTACCCGTCTCCATTATTCTAGGACGCCTTTTTTACTAATAAGTTTTCAACTAAATTTGACTTATTTATTNATCTCGTTAGCATTACAATTATCTAAAGATTGTAGCCATTTCTCCTTTAAATATTTATCTTTAGGGATATTAAAAATGAAGAGTTTCTCTGAGTTGTCACAATGAAAGTAACAAATTACTACTTTAGTTAAAATAAGACATATTAAAAATCAAATACCTATACATAAAATGGGTTTATAGTTGCCACTAGAT